TATTTAAACAAGATTAAAACTTGTTATAAAGCTTGACGATAAATGATTGATTTTATTTAAAATCTGTAATAATTAGTGTTGAATTTTTTATTTTTACAATAAAAATTGTGGTCGAATTTTAGATTATGTGATTGATTATGCACACGATTAACGTGTTATGCATAATAATAACATATATCCTATATAACTATAATGATTATCATTTTATCATTAATTAATATTATTAATTATCATTATTACTAATTGATAACTATTCTCACACATAGCAACTAAACTAGGTAATTTGTATAGACGGAGATTCACTATTTGTTAAACATAATATCCAAGCCGACAAATTGTAAATTATATCCTTGATATCTGGTCGTTTATTTGAATCTCGACTGATGCATCTTTGAATTAGTGCATGATAATAATTTGGCAATGTTAGACCAGAAGGAATGACAGGTTTTATTCCATTGAACACGAAAAACTCCAATAAAAGCCTATTGTCTATTGATGCATACGGCAATTGGCTGGTGGCCACGTGATACATTATCATCCCAAAACTATAAATGTCAACTTTTTTGCTGAAAGGTTTAGATCTGTCCATTAATAGTTCTGGTGCGGTGAAATACATCAGTCCTTCAGGATGCTTTTCAAATTTGTCGATATGTTTACAATATTTTAAATCGTTCAAGTATGCCTTTGGCGCGTTTGATGACGTAGATGATGAATCTAACGATGATGAAATTAATACCGTGTCACTGTTTAGACTTCCATGTATTAAACCTTCTTTATGTAATGAATTCAACGCAGATGCTATATCAAGTAATATTTCCAATTTATTTTTCCAGCTCGTAAAGCTCCAATTTTGATTCATATACTGTGTTAAGCTACCGCCATTACAATACTGCATCACAATTCCATATTTGTTAAGTTCAGGAAATAACACAACCCCATAATATTTAAACATATTATAGAGTGCATCACTGTCATCCATTATAGGCGTGAGAGAATGTGTGAAAGAAAGGGGGCGAGAGAGATTGGATAGATGAATAAAAATTGCAGAAATATTTAATCTACAGTATATGTAAAGATGTAAATTTATTGGATGGTTTATCAATTAATAAACTAATTACCTTTTCCCGCTGATAGCATCCATTATAAAATATATTCTTTTAACCTTTATTTTGGAGATGAGAAAAAAAGGTCACATTAATATTTCATCAATATACTAATATTTCGTCAATCAAATCATAAAAAGGATAATAATTACCGCATCAATAAAATGTTTAACATCATTAAAAATTTTAACAGCGACGCAAGAAAATCCAAAATCATCATTATAATAATAATTTTCATAATCAAATCTGGTAAGCCTCTTCCCTCCATTCAGCCACAATATTGCTTTATACGATATTCCAAATTCACATGTACCAATATAATCCAAAATATAAAGTTGATCACGTGGAAACCATTCCAAAAAATTTGTTTTGACATTTCTACCATATATCATCGCCTTCATTTGTGATAATCTTATAGAAATATCTATCTCCAAAAAAGGTGACACTGAGGTTGTTGTTGATGTTGTTGATGTCGATATTGTTTCTGGTGTAGTTTCCCGATCATTATCGCCATTATCTTGATGTTCTCGATGTTCTTGATGGTGTGGATATTCTTGATTCTCTTGATTTTCCTGATATACTTGATATCTTTGAACTTGAGAATATTCTTGATGTTGGGAATATTCATTATGTTCTTGAGATTGTAGATATTCCTGATGTTCTTGATGTTGTGAAGATCCTTGAGATCGTGAGTATTCTTGATGCTCTTGAAATTCTAGATATTTCTGATTTTCTTGATGCTCGTTATGTTGTGAAGATTCTTGGATTTTCTGATGTTCTTGACATTCTTGACACTGTTGATTGCTATTAACAAATTGATCATTATCATATGTTATAAAATTATAATCAATAATTGATGAGAATTGCATTGTTATGCTGTATGTTGTGTATAACGACATTTTTCTCTCCTCCTTCTTGATTTTATTGTAGATTATTGGAATTATTCTATCGTTGGAGTTATTCTCGTGAGGAAAATAAATGGTTGAAAAGAGCATGGGAAAAAATAAAGAAAAGTATTTTGTTGTATATTTATAAAAATTAAAATAATAAGAATAATTAATTTAAGAGATAATAGGAAAAGTTTTATTTATCTATTTATTTATTATTTATTAATACTATATTAATATATATTTTACAAATATGGTTGTATGATTATTTTTATTATGTCAATCATTTATTATTATTATTCAAAGAAGAAAAAAAATAAATTAGATACGAGCAAATGAATTTGTCAATGATCATGATGATGAATTTTTGAATGAATGAACTTGTTAGTAGTAACAGTAGGTGGGAAGAGAGAGGGAAGAAAATCTTGGGAATTAATTAGTAATACAAGAAATAGAATTAGAATATACGGCCTATTCTAAAACCCGAATTTAAAATCTTACAAAAATAAACAGTATAAATAAAAAGAAAATAAGCAGCATAAATAAAATTAATTAAATTAATTTAATTTCTGCAATAATATATTTATACATGCATTACAACAAAAAATCATCCTTTTTTAATTATAACAAATAATAAAAAATCCCTGTCAGTTAATTTGTTCGTTATTTTGTTTGCTAGCGCTAGTACTAGCAAAAGAAAGGGTTTAAAGGGGTTGTTAGTTTAATTTTAAAAGAGTTATTAAATCTTAATTTAATATTAATGGATTAACTCGATGAGCAACTATGGATCTTAACGATATGATATATCAATGAAAAGATGATTATAATTGTGATTTATTTATTTATCTTATGATTTTGAGAAAATTTTTTTTGTGTATTGTAAATAATGATAATATATATACTGTATACATACATACACAAAACAGTTTATTTTTGTTAAGAAATAAAAGAGACTACTTTTTGCAAATCTTATTATTAATTTAATCTAATTAGAAATTTGGTAAAATAAATATTTGTAATAAATAATAACATTAATTTTATATTAATTAACAGAAAAAGAAGTGAATTCTAAGTCATAAAATATAATTATTCACCAAAACTATATAAAACATGTTATCGGAAAATTGTTTTACAGCCCCCCCCTTTAAATTCTCCTCATCGTTATTATTTTTTAAACAGTAATAATAATAATAACAGGGTATATATAGAAATGTGGAAATTAATATGGAAATTCATGTTTATTGTATATATATAAAAATTTATTTCATCACAACCAAATATGTAAAGTCACGACGAACACGAGAATTTTTTTTTTTTTGTAACCCGACATTAATAATAATATGAATCAACTCCGTACTATATTCCCACCGATCATATTAATATCATGGTATGAATTAAAAAAAAAAAAAAACGGTATTTACGGATTGATGAATCAAGGGTTTGATGATGGATAACAAATAATAATAATTCATCAATGGTCTAACACGGAGTGGAATATTTTTTTATTTAATTTAGTATTAGTAATAATAGAAATATTTACTAACTGATTATCATAATAATAATAAATAAACCAAATCAGTCAAATTTCCTTTCATTCATTCACAAAGATATAATCATGATTTTTTTAAACGAATAAACATAATAACAATAATAAACATGACTTATTATTTTTAAAGTATTACGTATATTTAAAGTCATATGATCATTGTCCGAGTTTCTTTTTTTAATTTGGAATCTATTTTCGAAGATTATTATTGTTAAATTTAGTAAAATTAGTAAAACAATTAATTATTGATGATGACGACAGCGAATAATTACGACGATAATAATAATAATAATAATAATGGTGTTACCGAATCACACGAAATCATTCTTCGAAATATTTTTCTTTTTCATACGTAATATTTTTATTTTTTGTCAAATTAGGAAAATCACAATAATAATGATTTTACCAATTAATTAATTGTTTTCACTCTTTATTCGCTTCACTTCGTCTTTTAAAACTTACTGAATCGATAAATCAACTGGTTGATCAATCAATTAAATCGGTCTCGGATATGAATTGATAAATTAGTTTTTCTTTTTTGCCAAGATACGAAAAAAAAAAGAATAATTTTTTATTGTTCATCTCCGATTCTAAAATCCAATTAAATTTGGCAGATAAGTAAATGAATGCACACAAATCTATTTTAAAATCGATGCAATGTAATGTATTGCTAATCATCCGTCAACACCTATTTTCTCGATAATTATTATAACAAAAACCGTACATATCGCACGTACTAGTCTGCGTACTTTCTCGCATATATCAATTGCTCATTCAAACTGCACATTTTTATTTATTTGGTAAGTTTTTTTTTTTTATCTTTACAATTTTTTTTAAAAAAAATCGAGCAGGCATAAAATTAAAAAATACCTGATTTAGAAAACGACAACTTTATTATTATTTATTAGTTTGCTCACACATCTATGTCGTTTAATATATTATAAAACTAAAAAAGAACTTTCCTAGCAATTAAATTATTCAAAAATAAATTTTTTCTCTTCTCTTTATTAGTATTAAGTAAATTATTTTATTAACAGTTACTTATTACGATCAATGTGTTGACTCTCAAACACCTCGCCCAAATCAGCTCGTTAGTAGTATGTATGTATAGCTGAAGCATAATAATGAATTAATAAATATATTTATTATTATTTACTGTGCTTTTAAGAGTATGGTTTCACCAAAAGCCGTGTGAAACTAAACATTTAGATGAATTGTTTCACCTTATTTTTTGGGATTATTAACGATATTTCTATTAATGCAAATGATAAATATTCAAACAAAAGAGAAAAAAGTATATGATGAGTGTCCAACTTGTATAGATATAATACTTGGTGTCAATCTTGTGATCTACAATTATAATCTCAAGGCGGACAAGTGGCAATGAAACCATTGATGAATTAATAAAAAACACCAACAGGATATGGTAAATATAATATGATGAATTAAAAAAGTATTAGAATAATTGGTTTGATGACTATATACAAAGCTACTTGGATATTTGGTAAAAGATAAAAGGCAATAAAAAATGTTGTAAAGATAAGATTGTTGCATTAAAAAATTACATTATTCACAAAATGTTCTGATGAATTTTTAAATGAGGTAAAATAATTTAATTAAAAATTGTGATAAACTTTACCAAACTGATTACATAATTAGGATTTATGGATTAACAAGACCAAATCACAAAAGATTATACATGAAAGAAAGAAGCCTTCAAATTATTTAACAAAAAAATTTAAAAATTTACAATGGAGAGATAAATTCTTATTTTTTATACTATTATTGGTGGTTTGGATATCCATGAGCAAAAAATCATTTACAGTGGCAACATTCTTCATGGCAATTGTTCATATATTGCAGAAATAGGATTATCAGTTCCAGCTGATAAAACTTTAAAATCAAATGAAAGTAGTGTATGTGGAGTATTACCATACTTGGAGCCATAAGTATTAAATGGTAAACTGCATCAGGTATAGTTTGGAATATTGATATCAGTAATCTCAACAACAACCTTTTAGTAATTTGGCACATGATAGATCAAAATATGTGAAGAAGCAAGACCTAGCTCCTCAATTAATACTCCAAAACTTTATATTGAATTAGCCTGTAAACATATGGATATAAATGCGTAATTGCTAAAAATTTATTATAATGCGCTTATTCATTATTAATGATTCTGATGAAGAAAAATTGATTCAAAAAAATTTGACTTGAACCTACAACAATTACAATGACAACAGATCCTGATGCTGTTTATATCAGCAGATTATTGTAATTTACAAATCTCTCAGCCTGTAAATTATAGAAGAGTTATATTCATTAGTAATAATAATGGCAATTATTAAAGAGAATTGCTATTTCTTACCAGTGGTGATTGTCACCACCTAAGGAATTAAATTTGCGTAGGGCGGAGTTAGGGTTGGGGTTAATCATAATTGTATAATTCCTTAGGTGGTGACAATCACCACCAGTGAGAAATAGCAATTCCATTATTAAATTATTATTTTTTTTTTTAATAAAGGCAATATCCTGCTCATATAATTTTATTAGAATAAAGTAAATATAATAATAATAATTCACTAAATAAATTCCAAATTAACTTTATATGTGGTTATTCCCCTTGAAAATAATTAATATAGATATATATATATATACACATTTAAATTTAACATTTCAGAAAAAAAAACAGATATGTCAAACAAAGTCTATAAAGTTTATTCATTCTCAATTTAACAATTTTAACTGCATCATAGATGTTGTTGACTGATCTGGATATTACCTAGGTAATGGGAAGTCGGATCCAGTATTAATGAAGTTATTTATTAAGCTGGATGAGAATTATTAGAATTAGTGTTAGAATTAGAATGAGAATTTGAAAGAGGTCTTGAGGGTATTTATGCTATCTGATTAGTTGGTATAATTAGTTCAATTGGTAGACATTCAGTGCTGTGCACTTTTGCATTCCTGTACTGTATGATCTGCAAACCAGCATTAGTTATGAGCACAGTATCCATTTGATTAGTGGGGGTGCTGTGTACTGTATGTTGGTGTATGACTTTTTTAAAAAAATTTCTATTTTTGTAGACAATACAGTACAGGAATGCAAAAGAGTACAGTACTGAATGTCTATATACTCAATTAGTTAGCTGTTTTATTTTTTAAGTTGATATTATTTTGTTTTAACCATGAGTTAAACAAAACACATTGTGGAAGCCACATGTTTTTATAATAGAGTTATTAGATTGTGGGAAGGATGATTGAAGTTTTTTTGCGAGAAGTAAATATTGGATATATGAAATTAATTAGAGATGTTGGAATTAATCTGGCTGCAAGTATTATAGGAGAAGTATGGTTGAAGTTAGATTGGAATATAGGTTGTAATAGTATTTTAGAGGATCTGTACCAATTTGAGATTTCAGAGATTATTGATTGTTGGATTGTTGGCCATGGAATTGTAGAATTAGCTTGGCAAGAAAATAGGTGTGTGGTATTTTCAGGTGATTGATTGCAATAGACAATTAAGATTGGGTGGGTGTAGTATTGAATAGTAATGTGTTATGGTGAATTTCAAGTTTGAATGAGAATAATGAGCCATGGTAAATATGTAAATTATTATCAGTGAACATTGAGTGATGGGAGAATTTTAGACAAAATTCTATAGATGACCAATTGATAGGTGTGTTTAATGGAATTTGTTTTACTAAGGTAGGTTGTGTTTGCCATTTAATTATTGCTTGTGAGTTTGAGTTTAATTTTATGTAAGAATGTAGAGGGTAATCAATTATTGTTGATTGAATATGATTGGAGAATGGAGTTTGATAGAAGAAGTATTTATGTGGAGTATTTCAGGCAAAGCTGATTTAGCTAAGTTATCAAATCATTATATTTATTGCCTGAATGTGATTTAAGTTTATGGAAGATTGCTTTTAATGATAATGATTTTTTTATGTGGTGATTGAGGATATTAGAGTAATTTTGATTTTAAATTTATTGTGAGTAGTGTTGGGTGTAATGTTATTGTCAAGTAGTTGGATAGATGATTGACTGTCTGTATAAATTGACACCAAATAGTATTGTGGACAAGTTATAAGAGCAGTCATAATTGCTATAATACTGCTCTTATTGAAGAGGGAAAGAATGTCAGTGAACAAGAAAAAGAGTGTTTGACATTTTCATCTTTTAAATTGAATCCATGCACAAAATAATTTAATGTCTTGTTGACCAAATTTTGATAAAGATCCATCAATGTAGAATATCAATGTTTGAGAGGAATGGTTATTGTTGGCATATGATGGTAGGATATTTTGTATTGGTGAGGAGGTGAATGTGGATTGTATAAGTTGGTGATTTATTGAGTGTGATATATTTAAGGATATATGTTATCAATTGTGACAGGTGATTGGGGTGTTACACATCAGTATAATCACAAACATAGTTGAGCACACTTATAAAAAACTATATGTAAGGATTTTTTATTGGGTGAAATGTAGATCATTTTTAA